TCTCCTTGGAGTCCTCTGAAGTTGGCATCAGGAACGTAAGTGTCGCACCAGCCCGGGCCGAGCGCTGCGCGAGTGGCTGTGGGGAAGGAGGGATGGAGGCGCGTGGTCGCTGGTGCTGCTGTAACCTCTTCTGGCTGTGATGGATTACAGCTGCTGCTGGTCTCAGTTGTTTGCTGCTCTGTTTTGTGGCTCTTGGCAATTCTTTTTCTGCTGCTTTTTTTCCCCTTCTGCCTCTTCTAATGATGCAAATGTGAAACCTGAAGTCTGTTTTTCCTCCCCTCTATGGGCAACGCTTACACGGAGCTCCAGCGGGAGTTTCACCTGGAATAAGGTTTCCCAAAGGAAGCACCAAACTCAAATCAAGGAAGAATAGTTTTGCTTTAAAGGAAAGAGGGCGCTTTGTCCTTCAGCTGTGTCAGTGGGAAGGGATCTCCAGCCCCAGGGCCGGCACCCAGCCACAGACTGGGCTGTGCTCGCTGCTGTCCTGTGCCAGGCAGGGCTGCTCACACGCTTCTCCCTTCTCTGGTGCAGATCTCGAGCCTGAGGCCCCACTGCAGCAGTCTGCTGGCCGAGACCTTAGTGCCCCTCATCAACGGTGGGTGACCGGGAGAGCTGGAACACCGGGAGGGCTCCGGCCGGGTGCTGGGAAGGAGGGGAGAGGGGATGTGCACGTGGCAGCAGAGCTGAAGCGATCAGACATCGGCGATCCCGTTTTAAGGCTGCAGTTAAATTCCCAGCCTTATTCTTGCACCTTCCCACACAGCTTCATCCAAAGGGCCCTGGTATCAGTGACAGGGAACATAAGGAAAACCAGAGCATGGCGGGGATGGGGGCTGTGGTCCATGCATCCCAAGTGGTTTTGTCACGGGTGGGAGCTGGGCTCGTCCCTGCGGTGCGATGTAAGGACCTGTCTGTCCCCTGCAGGTGCTCTGGGCATCGGGATCCCTCTGCCAAACGTGCTGGGCATTCCCTTAATAAAAGTGGACATCCAGATCCTAGCGGTGAGTGCTCTCCTCCTGCCTGTGCTGGTGCAGGTCACCGGGGCTGCTCCCACCCTGCCGGAGGCGTTGGGTGAGCAAGAGCCTTCCAGTGCCCCCAAAGGGCGCTGCTCCCTCGGTACAAATCCGAGGCGAGGGTTTCCGCGAGCCGGTTTCCAGCTCACCGGGCGCTGCCGCTGCGCTGTCGGGAGCCAGCATCCCGCATCCCTGGCAGCGGGGTGCTGACGTGGTTGTGTCGCTCCTTGCACCTCCTCAGGGCCTGCTGGTGATCCTGGTGTGAGCTGGGCAGGCGAGGCACCGGGGGCTCTGCCGGGGCAGAGGGGAAGGAGGAAGCGCGGATGGAGCCCGGAGCCCAGCGTTACCAGCCTTTCTGCGCTAAACTTCAGGATTCCTGATGACATTTAGGACACTTTACAGTTCATTGGCCTGCGAGCACTGAGGTGCTCCCATGAGCCAAACCCCCATAGGCCACTCCGTGTGCGGATGCTTATTTAGAGGAAGGAGCAGGGTTTGGGTGGCAGTTCCAGCAGGGCCGTGGGATGCTGCAGCAGACGTGTTAAATCTGTCCTGAAGGAAAACTGCTCTTGATATAATGAAGAGGGAACTTGCTGCATGTGGGTCTCGGAGGAAATGTCACCGTCCCCATGCGGAAGGAAACTTGTAGCTCCCAATAAACATCCCTACTTTTGTAGTGCTGGAATGAGGTTCTGCTTTCTGATGCCTCTCAGGGAGAGCATCCGTCCTGCCTCCAGCTTTGGGGTCTGGTTCCTTTGTGACCACTGAGGTTTTGGGCCTTGGTTTGAAAACTTTCCACTCAGAACAGAACCCACTTGGGTTTCCAGTGGCTGCTCCTGGCCAGGTCAGCCCCGCACACGTGCTAACCTGCCAGGAGTCCGAATGGAACTGGATGTCCACAGGTCGTGAAGCGTTTCCTAATGGAATCGGAAGGGAAAACTTCATTACCTGCTCCCTGGGCAGCGCGGTCGCACCAGAGCACACCCATGTCCCTGCAGCAGCCCGCGCCTGCTCGGACAGATGTGAGCCAGTTGCTCCCTGCACGTCACGCAGAGAAGAACGCGGGCACTTGGGATTTCAGGGTAGAAAAGAAATAAATCCAGGTCTCCAACGGCCTCTCAAGCACTTTTCCCCAGCACTAGATGTTGTTAGCAGCGTGTTGTTTATTGCTGGTGTTCCCAAAGCTGGTGGTGGTGTGTCACTGTCAGAGCGTGGAAGAGGTCCAGCGCTGGTCAGGTAATGGACAGGGACAAAGCCCTGGTCTGTGCTCCTGCCTAAAGGTAAGAACAGTTCAGTATCTGCTGGGTCACGGCCCTCAGCACCTTGTCCTGTCCCTGGGCAGCAGGGATGCTCCTGTGCGGTGAGGGAGCTCCCTGCCTGAGCAGCACCAGCAGCAGCTGAAACACACGGTGAGGAGCTGCAGCAAAGGGAGGTGTGAGCACAAGTGAACCATCAGGACCCTTGGACCCTGCTGCCTGTGCTCTGTGGCACTGCTGTGCCCATGGAGCTGGCTGAGCGGGGCTCTGGGGGCTCCGTGACCCCGTCACCAGCGGGCAGGATGAGCAGCTCCACTGACCTGCACCAACTCCATTGTGCCACCTCAGGGCTGCTGCACTGATCGCGCTTGGCTTCTCCATCCATCCTCTCTGCCCTCGGGTCAGCATTAAGGGCTCTGTTTGTCCAAGGTTGTTCTGGCTCCCGAGCAAACACCTCCCGCACGGTGAGTGAAGTTCAGCACCTTCTTGTGCAGTTTTAGCCAGCACTTCTGTGCACTCGGGTTTGCTGCAGGGGATTCGTTCTGCTGCTACACAATAACCTGGGTCCTGTCGCTGTCCCAGGGGGCTGTTTGACTCGAGACAGACAAAGCAGAGGGAAGCAGGTAACGAGAGCTCAGTGCAGAGCTGGGGCAGGGCCTGCATGAGCCTGGGGTCACAGAGCAGCGGGAAAGTCATTTTGAGCATCTGGAAATGGCTTTTCCTGCCAGGGCCTGGCTTCCAGTGTGCCATTTATTGTACAGGGCTCAGTGGGAAGGAGCAGAGGAAAGGGCAGCACCTTCTGAAATGTGTAAATCTAATGTCCCGAATTGCTGCTGGGTCCAGGAGGAAATCCAGAGCAGGAAAGGGCAAGTCCAAATCGATAAGGACTGGGGTGATCCTGTCCACAGTGGAAAAACCTCTAAGCAGTGGTTTTCCATCATGCTGGCACCTGATGAGCTGGAATATCACCTTATGGATGAGCAGTGGGAATGGGGTGTGCCAGGCTGGCTGCTCTGCCCAAGCTCCCGGATCTCTTGGGGCTCTGGGATCTCCAGCTCTTGCTCCAGGAGTATCCCTGGTGAAGCTTCACACCTCTGGGGCTGGTGAAGGGGCTCGTCTCTGTTCCTCAATGGCTGAGCCGTTGGCTGTTGCATCCATGCCCCTCTGGCCGTGCACTGCCTGGTGGCTCTTCCTGTGGGACCCCGGGGCAGCACCCAGGAAAATGATGGATTTGGTTAGCGCCAAGCACAGCACCACGACCCCCTTGTCTGTGGTGCTCTTCCAGGTGAACCCAAAGCAGGTGCTGGGAGCACAGTGCCCCCCTTCTGCAGGTGCTGCTGTGCTGGAGGCTCAGTGAACTGGGGGGACAAGCGGAGGACCCAGCTCTCCAGTGAAACCCAGCTCTGCCCCACACCTGCGGCTGACCCACATAGGTGCTGGGAGCGGGGGTGCAGCTCCCGTGACCCCACGCTGAAGGTGCAGAACCATGCAGTTAAGCCCTCAGCCAGAATACCCACTGGCAATGAATACATCTTTTCACTGCTGCAGCTTATTCCTTTTGGGAACCTGGTTTAAGATATATTAGTCAAAGAATAATGGTTGCAGCTCTACCAGGGAACTTTTATTAGGAGCAGTTCCCACTATTGCCAACCTTGGCCATTCAAATCATTAGTCAGGTCCCCAAGCTGGGCATATAAACCTTCGGGGTTTTTTACTCCTTGCAATAAATCAACCTGGCTTGTTTTGTTTGCTCTCCTATTTCTGAGCCACTGAAATACGAGGGTTTGAAGCGCTTCTCAGAGGCTAGAAATGATGGGTAATAGCTGTTGTGAGTGCAAGCAGATGGACGTGTAACGTGGGTTCACGGCTGCGGTGCTGTGTGAAGTGTTGTTATCAGACAGCTCATGAGGGGTGCAGCCCCCTGACCAGCCCCTCTGTCCCTCAAGGGCATCCAAGGCTGTTGTGGGGCTTTCCCCCCCTTTTTCCTGAGCTGGGTCTGGGCAGTAGGAGGGAGCATCCCAGCATGGACAGAGGCTCCCGTGGGTGGGCGCCCGGCACGGTCTGTGCGGGGCAGCCACGTTTCCGTGGGCATTGGCCCCGTGCCGAGCGCTGTCAAAGTGCACTTTGGAGCAGGGAGCGTTCCTCGGCTCCAGAATTAGAGCCCATTGTGCAGACAGAGCTGGTTTATTGTTATTATTTTTCTCCTCCTTCCTGAGCCAGGGAGAGGCACCAGCCGCAACGTTCCCATAGTAACAACAGGGATGGAGGAGAGCAGATGAGGGATCTCTTGTTGGTAGGGGCCGTGTCGCTCTGCAGTAAGAGGCTGGTTTGCGTCCTTATAAATTGGTGGAATGTTCATGCTCCCTTAATTAAATGTAAGGGCTGGCCATCTGTACTGGTACCAGTTCTTAGCAAGAGCAATCTCATCTGTCTCCAGGTACAAATGGTCGGGGGGGTGGATCAATAGACACACCGGAAAGTGCAGTATTAAAGAGAAATGTTTAATTAAAGCATGGAACACAATTATAATCCATCCTCTTTGTGCAACTGTCACACCAAGAGCGGGACTGGAAGGAAAAGGTGCTAGTGCAATGCTGTTATCGTCCTAGAGACGAAAAAGTGCTGTTCTAGTAAGGCGAGGAAGGAGATTCTCAGCATTTCAAGCAGCGCCAAAACACAAAGTAAGTGTGATGCAGGAGTCCACAGCTCGGCCCCCGTTTTGCTTCAGATGTCAGCCCACAGTGGTCTGTGTTCCAGTCCTCGCCTGGAGCTGCAGGTTGCAGGGCACCAAGACGTAGTCCTAGGCGAGGGGAGAACGGGGGCTGAGCAAGGTGCTGGGGTGGCTCTCAAGAGCCTGCTCAGGGCTCCCCATGGGCCAGCAGCCCCTCCAGCACAGCCCCTGCTGCTGTCGGGGGGCTGGAGAGGAGCTCTGCCTGTGTGAGGTGAGGAGGCTTGGTTCTGTGGGTGAGCAGGGCTGGAGGAGCGGGCTCTGATTTATTCTGGCACCAGGAGGTGAGCGTTGCTCCCAGGCTCCCCTTAAATCAGACACAGCAGGAGCACTTTAAAGGTCTTATTTCTTACCTTGTGAATCACGACGTTGATGTCGGTGTAGGTGAAGCTGGAGATGTGGGGCAGGACCAAGCCTTCGCTCAGGACCACTAGGAAAAAACAGAGGGAAAGGAGCCAGCTGGGTGCTGCCTTCGTCCTGGTTGCGCATCCCATGGGGCAGCACCACACAGGACTCCTGGCTCCTCACCATTGATCTGAGCTGGTACCTCCGTACGGATCGTGGGCAAGAAGAGCTCCTCCAGTAAGGCATCCTGCCAAAGGGAAGTCCATGGTCAGCTCACAGAGTGGCTAAAGCAGGAGGGGGGCCAGGACCAGCGGAGGGGGGGTCCTGGTGCTCACAGGTGAGGCCAGCACCAAAGTCAGCGTTCCCCTGCTGATAACCACTGCTCAGGACGGTTTAGGACCGCCTAAGCTGGGAGGTGCAGGACCAGGCTGTTAGAAGACGATGCTAAGGTGCATTCACTAAGTGGGTGCAGCACAGGGCAAGGAGGGGCTGTGGCTGAGCTCAGTCACTTGGGGGGTGCAGGGCACCTACCGGCACGGGGCCCACGTCGGAGGCAGCCAGGCTGAGCTCAACGTTCCTGGAAAACAGAGTGGAGCAGGAGATGCTTGTAGTGAGCAACGACTTCCCCCAGGGACCATGGGTGAGGGCAGGGCCAGGGGCTCGGTGCCTGGGTAGTGCCTGAGCAGGCGGCTGGAGCCTGACTTCCCCTGGGCACGGCAGTGAGGGTCTAGGGAGGTTTTGTCCCCAAGGATTCAGCCTGAGCAGCCTTCTGGGGTGCTGCTGATGTGCCATGGGCTGGGGTGAGCGGGCTGGGATGCAGGATGCTGCACTTTAATCACAGTGAAACTGAAGTCTCACTGGTCCCCTCAGGACAGAGCTACCTCTGCAGTGCCCAAACCATGTAAGCTAAGAAGTTCCCTGGATCATTTTGCCTCTCCTTTCCCTTTATGAGTGGGACACATCCCCTTCAAGCACTCGGAGCATAGCAGGGTTCATTACTCTATCACCGGTGCAGAGATTATCATCCTCGTGTTGGTGACGCTGAGGAGGAGTCCTGCAGACATATCCTGCATGGGAAAAAGAGAGGCAAGGATCAGAGGGATCCAACGCTCCTGCTTCAGCTTTGGGCACTGGGCTGCGCTGAGCCCATCGTGCGCTGCCGCCTGCGATGAGCTCCTCGCACCCTGCTCCCTGCATCGGAGGCAAGCGCAGCTGTGGCTCGCAGGGCACGCTCACCACGTTCACGCTCAGGAAGCTCTGGAATGCCGGCGATCCTGCCCCGACGTGGACGGTGAGGAAGAGCTTCAGGGCTGCCTTGCCCTCCTCCAGCACCACCCGCGTGGAGCTCCTGAACACGGCTTGCAGCACCACCGGCCGGTCCTCCGGGAACAGGGAGCCCATCTGCGGGGCAGGGGGGTTACCGGTGCCCGGGGGCACTGCCCGAGCCGGGGCCGTGCCTCTCGGTGCGACCGCAACCAACCTGGGCGATCTTGGGTGCCAGGGTGGCGGTGGTCAGCGGGCTCTGCAAGGCAAACACAGCCTGTGGCTGACCGAGCCTCAGGGCTCGCAGCCAGCACTGCCCAGCTCCCGTGGGTGCTCAGAGTGGTTCCCGTTTCTTTGCAGGGTGCACGGCTCCCCCAGCCCGTTCCTGGGCCAGGGCTGTCCCTCCCATGTGTGCCTGCTGCTCCCTGCTCTCTGCTCTACTCACCAGGATGGTCATGTTGAAGGCCCCCGCCATCTCCAGGGCAAAGAAGAGGCTGGTGAAGAAGTGCTCAGAGAAAGCCAGGGTGAGGTGAGCGGGGCTGGAGCTGGCCAGCTCGGGCATGTTGAAGGGCACGGGGCTGACTGGCAGCGGGATCGCCATTCCTGCCACCTGGAAAGTCGTCTGCAGGGACATGGGCAAGGAGAAAAGGAGTCTGAGGTGTCTCAGGGCACGTAGCCCTGGGAGCTGGGCTGTGAGTGCTGGGAAGTGAGGGTTTACCTGCAGGGATATGGTGATTCCCTGCTCGGAGAACATGGGTGCAGCCAGGGGCAGGTACTGGAGCTGGCAGCTTGGTGTGAAGGGGAACTGAGCTGCAAACCGAGCAGAGGGATGCTCAGGAAGAGGAGGCGAAGGTGGTGGGAAGTGCCTTCATGGGCCTGCTCCATCTTGTGAGCTGCTCCAGAATGACCCCCAAAGCCTTTAGTCCGTATCAAGAGTGAAAGCCCAACGCTCAAACGCTCACCTGTCAGAGAGATCAGCTCTTCATTCGGGGAAAGCAGCAGTTTGGAGACTTCCAGGCAAACCTGTGGCATAAAGAACAAGAAGAGAACTGGTAGATGAACACAGGAGTCTGCTGGCACGGGGTGTCCCCATCAGCTGGCAGCCTGGAGACGGGGATGGAAGCATTCAGGAGCATGGGGCAGTGCACTGGCCTGACTGAAAGTGCTCTCGTTCCTACAGACCTGCACAACTTTGTCTTCTCCTGCCTCACAGCCTTCTCTTACCTTATCGACGTTAATCTCCTTGTCCAGCTCTGAACTGGAGGACTTGCTGGATGAAAACAACAGAATGGAAGAAGTTAGGTGAGCCCCAGCTCAGGTGAGTCAAGGGCAGGTGAGTCTTTTATCTGGACCAAAAGGCAACCAGAGGTGTTATTACCACTACTTTCTTATCTAGTTAAGCTGCAAATACAGTTCAGAATCCTAAAACACTGAAGAACTGCTGTTGGACTTGTGTTACAAATGTGGCTGCTGCTCTGCTCTAAAGATCCCTTACGAGAGAATGGAACTCTCTTGAAATGGGGAAAACCAACCCTGGAAGCAGAACAAAGCTTTTGTTCTAACCTTTGTGAGCAGCTCTCAGTCAAAGTCACCTTCCTGCCTAGAAACTCTCATGCCTCAGTTTCCTCTTGTCCCCCGTTACCCAGATCCCATAACAAGGAAAACCACAGGATCGACCTCTCCGTCTCCTCAGTGCTCTGCACCTCCTCCATGGTGGGTTTGCAGGCAGAGGTCACCACCTCCAGGTTCCCTTCGGGGTTCATTTCCACGTGGAGGTTCGCCCGGATGGACAGTCTCATCACCTTGGTGGTCGAGCTGTGCCAGCGGAGGAGAAGCAGAGGCTGGAGCACAGGGGCTGATCCTGGTCCTGATTCTGGTCCCACTCACCTCAGCCCCCCCGCTCCTGCAGGCAGATGTCAGGAGCTGGATGTAGCCCCATTGCTCCAGACAGGAGCATGAGCCCCAGCACTCACGGGGCGGGTGTGATGCCCAGGTCCACATCGACGCTCAGCCGCAGCCCGGAGTCGGGGACGAGCGACAGAGACAGCTCAGTGACTTTGACAGAGCTGATTTGGGTCCTGCTGGAGCAGAAAGGAAGGTGTCAGGAGAGCAGCCCGGGCTGGTGGGCAGTCCCTGCCTGCTCTCATAGCGGGCAAACCCCAAAGGTCCATGGGATGCCCATGGATAAATCGGTGCCGCAGGGTGGCACTGGGGCTGCTGCCCTCAGAGCCCAGTGGAGGAGCCAGGAGCTCATTTCTAAACCTCTCTGGCAAAGAGCTGAGCTGGTCTCCAGGAGCATTTTTGCCCTCACTGGCACAATGCCTTTCGGGACGATATTCATCTGACCAGCAGCATGAAGCAGGGCTATGGCAGCAAAGGCAGAGCCACGGACTCACCTGCTGGGCTTCGTGGAGCCGACAAGCGGGTCAGGAACGGTGGGAGCCATTAGGTCCTGCCTGAGGACTGTCTCAGCGTGTGGCTTGGAAACTTCAGCGACTGTGAAACAGGGCACATATTTTATGAGAGCCTCTGGGGGTTGTGGGCAGATGGACAGGCTGAAATCCACGGGGCGACACGCTTCCTTCCCTTACTAACCCCCCTGGTACTAGCTACAGAGAGAGGATGTTGAAAGAGAGCTGAGTAATGGCAGAAGTTTGCGGTGACAGTGTTTGGTGTCTCATCATCGGACTGAACGATGCTGCTGCCTCCCCTCCCCGCTGAGAGGGGACTGGACTTACAGTAGCTCAGTCCTAAGGGGGTGAGGATGCCCCCGCAGTCGGGTGACCGGGTGCTGTGTACGGGGACCAGGAGGCTCAGGAGGATGCTCAGGGCGCGGAGATTCGCCATGCCGGTGCCTGGAAGAGCAGAACATCCACAGCAGCCTGGTGAGAGCAGCACGGAGCCATGGATCCGCTGCTGGGGTCAGGTTTGTGGTCCTGAGCTTGGCAGCATTTGTGCAATAACAACACAGGCTCTCGTGCTGCCTGGGATCTGAGAGCACCGTGAGAAGGCTCGGCCCTGAAACCCCCTGCCAGTCTGTGCGCTGGAGTGGTGCTCGCAGCGGTATCATGCCTGCTGAAGAGCTCACAATGACCCACTGCTGTATAAAAGTGGTGAATAAAGAGGAGCTGAAATGAGCTGAGGAATGAATGGAAGTTATGGAGAAGGTAAAATCGAACAAAGAGGTGAGTGTGTTATCTCCCTCTGCAAAACCTTTGGGAGTTGTTTAGCATGCCTGCAATGCTCGTGCAATATTAAAAACCCCAGTAATTCAGAAAGCTTAGCCTGCAGAAAACATTCGTGTGTATATCAGCCTTTGCAGAAAGTGGATTTGATGAGAGCTGACCTTACAGAGACACACCAGGGTAAGCGCAAGCAATGCCCACATCAAGCTATGCAGTTTGCAAAAGCTTCTTTACCTTTCCTGGCCGTTCTTCCCATCCTTCTGACTCGGTCTGTGTCGTGCTGTGGCCACACCAGGGAATCGTGCTGGTGTTATATACCCTCACACACGAGGCTGGTGGGGCAGGAGCTGGCAGAGGGCTGGAAACCGGGACATGGGGAGGACGCTTTGTTTTATACATCATTTTTATTGTTTCCCTGCGTATTTGATTACTTTGGCTGTTGCCCGAGCAAGGTGAAGTACTGCACAGCCGGTGCTGGGGCAGCGTGCCTCCATCTGCTGTCACAGGGGAGCACACAGAAAGGGCTCTGGGTGGAGGTGCCAAGAAAGCAACCATTGTTAGAAAGCAGATGTCCCTGTGGCCGTGCTTTCCTCACAGGGCAGCCAGCACCATGTCCACACGAGCAAGAAGCTGCTGTGGTTTGTGTCTGTCCTGGCTGGGCAGCTCAGACCAGAGGGATGAGACCTGCACGTGTCCCACTGAGGTCGTGGTGATCCATCAAGGGTGCCCTCCATTCCCACCAGGCCTGGGTAAGTGTTGAAGGCAACAGGAGTGTTTGTTGTGTTCAGTGAGTTTCAGACCGGACAGAGGATCAACTTCTTTTGAGGTGTCTCCTGTGACCTCCGGGATGGCCCATGTGCAGCCATTCCTTCCTCTCAACCCATTCCCAATCCAAAGGCACTGGCAATATTTGTTACGAGTGGTAGAAAAAGTGGTGAGTGATGCTCACCCTCTTTGATCATGTCTCTACAAGCCAGGAAAGCTGTCATGGAAGGGGGTCAGAGTCCTGCTCCATCTCATGCTCGGGGTCCATCACGTTCTCCTGCCTTGTTTTGGCCTGGAGGATGGAGCAGGGACCTCCTGCAAATGCCATGTAAGCACATCCTCCGTGGTCTCACAGCTCTCCTCAGTGCTCCGTGTTCTGACACCGCCCCTGCCCGCAGTACTCATGATCTCAGCTCTGAGGCATGACCAGTCTTGGAGAGGACTGAGCTGCCCATTTTGGTCCGGATCCCTTGGCAATGGGATGAGGTGTTCAGAGCTTGTTGAAACACCTGGAGCTTGGGGAGGAAACCATTGTCCTTTGTGCACTGATGAAGTAAGTCATTGGGCGCTGGTTCCAGGTGCATCTTGACACGTTCGGAGCGCTGTGCTGCTTTCCCTCTTGGCATGGCACAGGAACACCAGGAGAAGCGGAGTTTCAGGCACGTTGTGCATTCCCACTGAAGGCAGTGTGAAGATGCACATCCAGCAGCCTGCAGGAGAGAGCAGGGCTTACTCATCCACACTGACCTGTGCAGCCCATTTAGAGTCAGGACATGTGTTACCATTGAGAAGGCTGTGACCTGCAGGTGAGTCCCAAGGCGATTTGCGACTTGGGAAGGGACATGGACACAACCTAGCAAAGTCTCTGGGAGATGTCTTTACTGTGCTTTAGAGCAGCAGTTGGAAGTTCAACCCTGCTCTGCCTTGTTCCTGCCCAGGTAACATCAGCAGCTCTTCCCAAGCAGTATCAGAGCTTTACCAGTGGAGTGTTCTTACCACTTACAGCAGTGCAAGGGGCTGGGGATAAGCTGCTGGGATGAGATTGCACCGTGGTGATTAGAGGCAGATTTTCTCCTCCTCAAGAGCTGCTCTGGACCCAGTGATCCCTGTGGAGGCTTAATTAGATGTCAACTTACAGCATAATGATGGATCAAGCTACCAACACAAAAGCGTCTTTCTGGCATGATGCTTTCCTCACTGGGAGTTATCTGTAAATCTGACACTCCTGTTAGATAAGATGTAAATCTCCCTGTCTGGGCTGAGCAGAGACAGCGAGTGCCTCACTGGAGGGAGGTAACGACAGGTTAAACCTTATGACATGTCTCATACAGAAAAGAGAAGAAGAAACACATTACTGCAGGATCCCATGGGGGGAGCTCCCAGAGCCGGGTCCTGGGGTGAGTAACAGGAGGGGAGAGGGGAGGACACCGCGGGGGCCACCAGCCCCAGCGCAGGCAGGGAGCTGTTTGTGCATTCCGGCTCTGTTTTGGCCAGTGTGGCTCTGCTGGCCTTGCACGGAGCCCTGCTTGCTTTCCTGTAGTGTGATGCAGTGACCCTAATGCTTATCCCCATTCACAGCGTGTGAAGGGTCCTGCTGGTGCCTGTGTGCTGGAAGGGGAACACGTTAATAAGGATGTTTTATAGGGTACGATGGGGAGCACTGAGTCCCCCCGCCCTCCGGCGCAGGGAGATTTTGAGCTAAACCTTGTGCAAACCTTCCAGCACCCTCCTTTGCTCCGAAGGGGAGAGATGCTCTGCAGAGAATGACAGAGGAAGCTCCCAAAAGGAAGCAGAGCACGCAATCCATCAAAGGCGTGTGGGGCTGAGCGATGAGCTGCAGCGCCAGCCTGAAACCCAAGGAGAGCAGCAGAAGGTTGGGAGGTGTCAGCCTGGAGGCAGAAACGAATCACTCCCCGCTAACAAGTGTGATATTAAAGCCGGTGATTTTCTGCATGGCTGTGTCCACAGATACATGGAGAAACTATAACTTAAAGGCAACAAAGCGCATCGGCTCCTGCTCCTGTGTGCCGGGGCTGCGGCATCGGCTCTGCAGCACCGCTGGGGTTTGCTCTCCAGGCTGGGGGTGCTGGGTTTGTCAGTGACATCCTGAGGAAACCCCTGACTCTCTGGGGCCTCCATCCCACAGCTTCCCCCTGGGGAAAGCAGGAGGTGTTGGAAACCCAAAACACTCTTTTCCCAATTTTTCTTCAGAATTAAGCGGTGTGATTTTGGTGGGAAGAAGCAAGTTTCTAAATTAAACAGTGCTCTTAAATGGGGACTTTAAAGATGGTGATGGCAATATCTGATAGTGACTGATGGAAGCAGCCCGACCTGGCTGCTGTGGGCTCCTTATTCCCAGCTCTGTTTTCCCAGCCCTCTTCCTGTGTTCTTCTGCAGGCTCAGAGTGAAAGGTCTCCATCTCCCACTGATATCGCTGCTGCTCTCACTGGGTTCGGAGCTCCTCATGCTCCAAAGGAGCATCGCTGGGAGAAGGTGAGGTGGGAGAAGGAAGCCGCTGCCTGCAGGGAACGCTGCTGGGATGAACTCCAGGGGATTGTCCCGCTTTGGGCTTTGCTCTGAGCCGCTCTGCAGGAGGAATCATGGGCATTGCCCTGGCTGCAAGCCTGTGGCTGGATGTGGCAGGACCCCACGGGCACCCCCAGGCTCTGCTCCAGGAGCTGCCCCATCAGAGTGAAAACCAACCTCCCAGGGGACAGCATCCCTGCTGTGTCAGTATCAATAGCCCCTAAGAGGCAGTGGCAGCACTGTTGAACCTGCCAGCCTCCAGGTTTGCTTTCCTGCAGAACACAAACACTTTTCACCGTTCCTTTTTTGACACTAAGAAAAACAGGATGTTTTACGGACAAATTCAGGCCAGCTCCAGCTGTGCTGTTCTGTGAACGTTCCCTTTGGCATCAGTCCTCATTTGAGTGCTGCACTCTGGGGATATCAGAGCTTCTTTTAGGCTTGGAAACCTTTAGCTCTCTTTAAAGCCAGAAGATGGCATTCTTGAGAAAAGGTTTGTGAAGAGGGAAAACATCTTATATTAGACACTGGGCATGTTTTGTCCTAACCCGCACCAGATGGGTTTGTTTAGCACTTGCCTTTCTTGCCTTTTGATCTCTAGTAAATAATGAGTGCTGTGTGCATAGCGGTGGATGTGTTTCCTCTGCCCAGATTGCAATACAAAGGCAGGAGCAAGATTGTGGACAGCATCCTTCAGAAAGTGCTGTCAGGCCTGGTAAGTCTGATCCTTCTCCCTTCGTTTCTTGGAGATCATCTCCTCCTCCTCCTCCTCCTCCTCACTGAGCTTTAATGGGTTTCACAGTTTTGCTACACAGAGGAGCCTGCAGGCTGCTGAAAGGGAGCATTTTGAGCAATTCCTGGTTTTACGCAGCCAACAAGCACAGTGAAGGCACTGTCACTGCCTAAAGCCTCCTCATCCCAGCCTGCGGTGAGGGATGCGATGCTCGGGCAGAGCTGGTTGTGATGCTGAGCACGCTTGTTCCTGGAGGCTTGTCGAAGGGCAGACCTGCAGCCTCCTACCACATGTCACAGCGTTGGTCTGGTTCAGTCAGACAGCTGGGGGGGTCTGGCCTTGTTCTTTGCTCAGCTCCAGGCAGGTTTATTCAACCTGCAAGACCCGCAGCAATGGCTGCAGAGGGAGCAGGGAGGGTGCTGGGCTGCCCAGGGTGATGCTTCCTCTTTCCTTCACTTCTCAATAGTTCGACTCCACAAGCTGAAATAAAAAGACCCCATCACCCCCCAGGAGAGGGGTGCAGGAAGGGACCCCCCTGCTCCCGTGCTGTCAGAGGTGAGAGCGTGTCTGCAGCCCTGTAAGGGATTAGTGCTTCTCCACATGATTTAGAGCCGAGTGTTTAGACATCTCCATGTGTGTTTCTGTCTCTCAGAGGAGCCCAGCACCGTGGTTTATCAGCTGCAGCACAGATATGGATCCCAGGCGTACAGTTCCCTGACTGCTGCATTATTACCTGTCATTAGGAGGTCAATAAACAGCTTCGACCCTGATCTCATGGAGCCAGCAGGATTGGAACGTTTTCTCCCGGTGGCAGGAGCTGGTGAGGAATTGAGGGCAGCTTTGGGAAGATCACTGTTTCTAAGAGGCTGTCCCCAGGAAGGTCTCTGCATGAGGCAGGCTCTGAGCGCTCCCTTTGTTTTCCTGTGTGTGCCAGCCCCAGCAGGCTCCTGCTCCGCAGCGCGTGTAAGGGACTGTCCTCATCGGGACTGCTAAGCAGCGAGGGAAGCGGCCATAAAGCCAGCTCCCCGCGAGGACCGGTGCCTGGGGAGCCTTCCCTCCTCATTCCACTGCAAACACTGCCAAAGCCAAGCAGCTTTCCAAAGCCATTTCCCCGGTTGTGCCTGCTCTTGCTGGTCACCAATGGAACAGTTTGAGCCCGAGCTCCCGTGAGAGCAGCACACCATGAATCAAAATCTGTGCTCAGCGTGCCCAGGAGAACCCCAGCCTGGAAACCTCCGGGGGCACTGAGTTGATTTTTCACTTACCCAGGCTGGGAAGCCGCGCTGGCAATGACTGGTGGTTGATGCCCGCGGGTGCTGGTGGAGGTGCGGGATGTGTGCAGGCACCAGCACAGTCCCTGGAGCTCTCCCAGCAGTGGGAAATGCACCATTCCCCCCACTTAATGGTCCCAGAGGCAGGAAAGAGCAAACTGTGGCTGCCCTGGCTCAGGGGTCCCCGAAGGGGTGGTTCCCTTGGGCAGAAGGGCCACGTCTGGATGATGCCATCAACAGCAGAGCAGAGCAGGCTCCTTTCTCAGCCAGGGTTCATACATTTCCCTCTGCCTGGCCAGAGCCTGCTGCCCTCTTGCTCATGTCAAGGCCTCCATCACTTCTCAGGGTATGTATGTCCCTCTTGCTGCCTGCCCTTACCCCTCAGGTCCCGGGTGATGTGAGCACCAAAGCAGTGTCTGTTCACGTCAGTCCTATTCTTCTCCCTTTGACCAAGTCCGTTCTGGTTTTACTCTGTGTTTCCGTTCTCACACAGCGATTTGGCTTCGTGTTCCTGGGGCTTTGAAAGTCGCTTTAGCGAGACGTGGACATCTCAATGTCATCAGGACCTGGACATCAACGATGTCATTCTCTTTATGGGAATCGGCTTCAGTTTATCCATAATATTTTGTTGTCAGAGACCTCTGCATTCAGCAAGAGCTGGTGAGAGGCCAAGTTATTGTCGTGCCTGAAAGGTCACTGCCCAGAAGCTATTCTCCACCATGCCAAGATGCCCCTTTGCTGTGTGCTGACCATTATTAGGTCTGTCTTTATGGTAATTCAGGTTTCTATAGTGACTGCCCAAAGTATAAATTGATACAGGAAGGATGATAACATAATACCAGCTTGTTAACACCCACTTCCACCTTATCAAATGTCATGATCTAGCCATGACAGCAAGGCTTTGTGCTCCTGCGGTGTCTGGCTGATCAGGTTGCAAGGAGAGTGACAACTCCTTTACTTTGGCATCTTTGCCATCCCTTCCTTGGCCTTCAGCTGAGATGTTCTTTAAAGCTGGAATCAGTGTGTGACCAAAGCTGGCTAATCTGCTGGAAATGCGGATTCCCAAGTTTGCAGAACATATTAACTCCGAGCAAGCATTTTCTGGACTATTATTTGCCAGTGCTGGGGAGCAGCCCTCCCACCCCTGTCCTCAGGGGCACATCAGGGGAGTGAAGAGTTCACGCTGTCCCCTTGATGCATCACCCCTTCACCCTGGACGGCTTTCATTGACCCTGCACATCGGGATGTGATCCACACATGGGGCCTATGCTTGTGGTCCTCAGAAGAGGGTTTTCTGTGTCCTGTCGCAGAGCTGCTGCTCTGGTGCAGCTCGGGGCAGCAGCTCCACAGCTCTGTGTGAGCGGGTGGTATTTAGGAAGTGAGCCTGCAGTAAATGAGCTGTGATGGATCAGCTGGGACACAACTGGAAAAACCCTGGCCACAGATCTGAGTGGCAGGGGCCTGGACAGAGCTGTGATGTGGAGGCAGAAGACCCCGGAGCTGCAGCACACTGCTGCATGGGGTGGTGTGGCAGGGAGGCCACCTCTCCTTCGGACTCATTTTTCAGTCAAAACCTCAATTTTATTTAAAACCAATCATTTTACCAGGGCCCCACCCTTCAGCCATGTCCACGTCTTGACAGCAGCAAGCCCAAAGGGAGGATGTACCAAACCCGGCAGGGGTGAGCTGGCTGAGTCTGCTCTGCACCTCCAGGTCATTGCTCAATGATTTACTTGACTCCTAACATCTCTAAGGAAATATTTGCAGTGGAAATCACCAGAAACCATATCTTGTTTGTTTTGCTCCCCACCAATTGCCCTGGATGTCCTCAGTGACATCACTTGCCTGATGGAAAGCTCTATATATGAAGATCCCTGGTGTGGGTCCTTCTCAGAAGACAGGGACATCGGCTGGAGAGCTTCACACTCTTGAGCTTGGTCAGGTAAGGGTGAGCTTGTTCCTCCAAAATCATGCTCTTAGCTTCTGCTCTGCAAACCTGAATGCTTCCCAAAGAACCCTTCACGTTCACTTGGGAGCGTTGCCTTTTCAACAGATATTGTCATTCCTGCCTGCTGCCTGCCTAAATTCCCCTCCAACAAGGAAAGCGTGTGTCGGCTTTTCACTGTGCTTTTCCCAAGAACAGACATGCATGTTCTTGGTATTTGCGTCCTTGAAGAGTAAAAGGGATTTCATGGTCTTCATAAGAAATATTCATTTCAATGATTTTTGGTATAACTCTATTATCTGAGATAGGCTTTTAGCCAGAGTGAATTAGACCTCTCACACTTGCTTTCCCTTATGTGCTATCTGCATTTAAATAGATATGGGGATGTTCATTATGATTCTTTATAAATAAAAAGCTACTCCAAGTTGGAGCTCCCTCCGAAATGTCAACAACGCTGGAACTTTATAACTGATTTTCTCTTTCCTACAATCCTCTTCCCCCTCCATGGCCTGTGCTCAGTGCCCCAGCACTGCACTGACATCGATCACTTCCCAGTTACCAGGACCGAAGATGGCTCCGTTCTGGGCTGTCTTCCTCCTCTGCAGCCTGCTGTCCCCTTCGCAAGGATTTAGAATCATGCCCTTGGGTCCCCAGATGGATGTAGATGGTAAGTGTACGGAAAAGAGAGGCCAGTCCTGCCCTTCCTATCTTTTGACCACGCTCAGTAAATCAGAGGCTGCTCCAGACTTGTGCAGCAGTAGAGGTAATGCTGGTAATTTGCCTTTATAAAGCCCTTTGGAGATGGCACTTGAGGTACTTTACAGTGGCCACCAGCCCTATTGCAGGACAATGGAGAGGAAAGGACCAGCCAGGCTGACACAGATGCTTGTGTTGAGCCCGTGACCTCCCATCCTTTGTTTTTCAGATATTAAAGATTCTCTGGCCAAACGCGACCTCCGGAAACTTAAAGGTGGTCTCCTTGGTGGCAACCTGCTCGGTGGTCTCCTTGGAAAAGATGGTCCTCTTGGCAAAGTCCTTGGAAAAGATGGTGCTGTTGGTGGCCTCCTTGGAGGAAATGGTCTCCTTGGAGGAGGTGGCCTCCTCGGTGGTGTCCTTGGGCAAGATGGTCTCCTTGGAGGAGATGGTCTCCTTGGAGGAGAAGGTCTCCTTGGCGGTGTCCTTGGACAAGATGGTCTCCTTGGAGGAGAAGGTCTCCTTGGTGGTGTCCTTGGACAAGATGGTCTCCTCGGAGGAGAAGGTCTCCTTGGGGGTGTCCTTGGACAAGATGGTCTCCTCGGAGGAGATGGTCTCCTTGGGGGTGTCCTTGGAGGAGATGGAGTCCTTGGAGGTCTCCTTGATAAAGATGGTGTCCTTGGAGGTCTCCTTGGCAAAGATGGTGTTGTTGATGGTCTCCTTGGCAAAGACGGTCTTGTTGATGGTCTCCTTGATGCTGTCCTTAATATTCTCCTTGGCGAAGGTGGTCTCCTTGGCAAAAATGGTCTCGTTGGCAATCTTCTTGGTGGGAACGGTGATCTCGGTGGAAACGGTGACCTCGCAGGGTGAGTGAGAGTGGGGGACGGGTGTCCCTGCGCAGCCCTCCCGGTGTCTGGACCACGCTGGGGAAAGGAGGCTCTGGAGCCTGCTGCCTAACACGTGGGGCCCCCACTCCCCTCCTGGGGCAGGTCCATAAGGGAGGGTTCAGCTGCTGGGAGTTCCTGTAGGTGCCATCCAGCTGCTCCAGGCTGGTGGGGTCCCCACTGGCCCTGGCGGGGGGGGAGGATGCCCGGTCGTGGCTCTGGCAGCGGGCGCAGCGCTGGGGCATCGCTGCACAGCCGCGCTCCCTGTCCCACCGCCCAGGCTGAGGATTGTGAGCAACACCCTGCCCAGAATAAGCCTGCGCTCGCTGCCCGGCTTCGGGCACCAGGTGGACTTCAACACCCGGATGCTCATAGACAGCTCCAGGTAGGGAGCGCCCATGGCGGGGGGCTCTGGTGGGCGGCGTGTCCCTGAGCCGCGCTCTGCTCCCCGTGCAGCATCCCGGGCTTGCCGCGCTGCGTGCAGGTGGAAGCAGATGTGGGCGCGCTGGTCCAGGACAAGTGGGCGGCTCCCCAGAGCACCCAGGAATGCCAGACTGTTGACATAAACGTCAGTGTGAGGTAGGCACCAGCATCAGGTACCGTCATGGGTGGTGATGGGAAACCTTGGTGCTGCTGGGATTGCAGGCAGGGCTTTTGGGCTGATGCCTCCTCAGGGGCTGAGCCCCCCCGGCTGCTGCTCTCAGAGGGGAACTGCTGAGCTTTCTTCTGAAGTTTGGGTTAAAGAAAGGGTATTTGGGGGTTGTGCTGGCAACCAAGCACTGGGCCGGATTCAGAGGGCTGGGGTTTGGTAATGTTTTGGCTCTGAATATGTAACTGACTTTGGCACTGAATATGAATATGGCACTGAAGATGGTGAAACCTCCTCTTGTGCAAAGTCCTTTTATCTTCCAGCCATCAATCTACATCACCTTTTATTTCCTATTTTGCTGTTCCCAGTCCCAAAGTGCCTGTCCTGGATCAGGCTTTGAAACGCCTCCTCGCTGATGTCCTGCGGGAGATGGTAAGGCTGCAGAGCGACCTCCATGTGAGCTCGGCACAGGCAGGTCCAGGCTGTGCCATGGCAGCGGCTGTTTGCACAGCTGCAGGCTCAGCACAGGGTCAGCCCGTCCTCACGCCCATGGGCACCATGGGCACCGGTACTGCACCGCCTTAGGGTCACAGCGAGCAAACTCTGGAGCCAGAGCCCCCAGCTCAGAGGGGCCGCTGCAGTAACGGGGTCCCACCAAACCCTGCCCTGCAGAGGCTCCTGCCACCCTGTGCACCCCAGCAGAGGCAGACTGCCTTGTTGTGATCATGCACCCTGTTATGGCTCACAGAGTCATGGACTGGTTTGGGCTGGAGGGACCTTAAAGCTCCTCCAGCTCCAACCCCTGCCACGGGCAGGGACCCCTTCCACTGGAGCAGCTTGCTCCAAGCCCCTGTGTCCAACCTGGCCTTGAGCACTGCCAGGGATGGGGCAGCCACAGCTTCTCCGGGCACCCTGTGCCTGTGTCCCACCACCCTCACAGGTTTTGATGCTCCTTTCCCTCCTCAGGGGTGCAACATCATCAACACCAGGCTCAGTGTGGTGAGCTCGCTGCTCGGCTCCAGGACCCGTAAGTGCTGCCCCCTCCTTGTCCTCTCCTCCTGTGTGGGGTCCCGCGCTCGGGCTTGGTTGGTTTTACCTGGGGCAAACACAGATATTTAACAACATTCTCAGCTCCCAGCCCTGCTCAAGCCCGGTTTCAGTTGCCTTCACCCCAGCGCAGCAGCACAGTTTTTCCCACAGAAAAGCACTTCAGGAACCGTTGCTTTCAGCAGCACCATTCCTGTGCTTTCTGGCAGCCCATCCAGCTGGGAACGCTGTGAGCAGGAGCCACCGTCAGTCCAGACATCTTTTGGGACCACGGGATTTGGGAGCATCCCCCTCCCTTTGCAGCTTAACAGCTTTCCTCCCTCTGTCCCACAGCCGCGCTCCCGCTGGGGGCTCTGGGAGATCTGCCCACCTTTTCCATCCTCGGTGCTGACACCATCCAGCTGGATCTAAACGTAAGTGCCCCGTTTCCCTGTCCAAACCCCCTGGCTTGGTGAGCTGGCGTAGTTCATCTCAGCACGGTGCCTGGTTTGCCTTGCTCCCCACCTTATCCTTTTACTTGCTAACCCTGGAGGGCAGCAGGAGCCCGCGTGGCTGACACTGCTGAATCCACACAGTTACAGCTCTCTCATAGCTGTTAACCAGGAAAGCTCAGTTCAGAGCCCAGGAGCAGTGGTCGCTGCTCACAAGCACATTCATTTATAAGCGGGTTTAAAGTTTGATGTGTCACTGATAGGGACCATATGAGGCCAATATGGGCTGTGTCTCTCTGACCAGGAGATGTGGCAGTGTTTCAAAGGGAAAGCTGTGGCCTGTGCTAGAGCATTCGAAGCATCCCTACCTGTATTAAAGAGTCCATTAACCCCACGTGTTCCTCTCCACGAGGTCCATGGTGGGCAGGATGCCCACTGTGAGCTCCACTAACGTCCCTCCCTGCTCTGTCCCCTGCAGCTCCCTGTCGGGGACATGGAGGGTGCAGTGGGGGCCCCCACCATGCAGGGACCACCGCTCACTGCCAACCTGCTGCTGGTCACCGGGCGCCCGCCTCGGCTCAGCCTGCCCCAGCGTGCCCTCGGTGTCCTGCTGGAGCTGGCCCAGGAGCAGGGAGCCTTCAACCGCAGCATCACCAGCTCCATGGTGGGTCCCTGTGCCCCTCTCTGGGGCTGGGTCAGGGTCCTGGTCAGCCTGGGGTGTCCCAGGGGTGCTCGCCATGGGTGCTTGTCTTTGCGTGGTCCAGCCCTTTGCACGACCCTCCTGGTCATCGGTGCTGTTCCTGCAGGTGCCCAATAGCATCTCGCTGTCCACGTCCGCCCTTCTCCCGCTCATCCCCCAGGTCAGTAGCCTCCTTCCACCCCCCTCCCACCCCCCCGTGCACAGACCCCTGCCCTGACCCCCCTGCCCCTTGCAGCTCGCCAAGGTCCTCCCCGGCTCCCTGCCACTGGAGCTGCGCGTGCGGGTGGCCAACGAGCCAGTGGTGGCCGTGAGGGATGGGAAAGCCACCGCCACCCTCAGAGCCTCCATCGACGTCCTCAGCCCTGCCCTGCAGTCTGCCCAGAAGCTGCTCTTCTCCCTGGATGCGGTGAGTGGCTCCCGGGGCTGATTGTTCTGGGTCAGGGCAAGGGCTGACACTGGCTCTTCTCTGGCGTCCCCTGGGCTTGTCCTGCCCTTGTGCATTTGAATTCACCTCATCTTGCAAACGGTGGTGCCCAGTGCTTTAGAACTGCTCAGAACTGAGCGCAAGTGAAGTGTTTAAGGCATAATACAAAATTGAGACAGGAAGGGTGAACGCTGGGGACAGATGCACGATGCCATCCACCAAAAAATGTGATTTCTAGGCCTGGGCAGGTATTTTTGCTCAGGATGGGTTATTCACACACACTGTGAGTTTTCATTGCTGGAGCTGCGCAGGTGATAACCTCATTTCTTCCACTGTTCCAATCTCAGGACATCGTTCTGAGCATCACCCCATCAGTCTCCGACGGCAAGCTCCAAACCTCCCTGGCGCTGGACAGGTAGAGCCGAGCTCTGGGGACTCTGCAGAGCCTGGTGGGAGGTGCCAGTGGTTGGGAGGGTGATGGAGACGTAGAGATGTGAAGGAGTGCGGCCCCGATGCACCCCGACTCTGCCTTGCTTCTGTCTTTTGTAGCATCAGCCTGACACGGACACCCCTGAGGCTCGACCCTCTCAGTGTAAGTGCACGGTGCTTTGGATGGAGGCAGGGCCACAAGCACTCAATGGCCATGGGCTGTGTAGGGAGGGAGAACCAATATGTCAGTTCCTCAGTCTTCATATTCCTTCATGGCAGAGGCCAGCTGCTGCCTATCCTGTCCATCCCATGTACCCTACAGCAGTGACACTGGGTGTATGTGCTTGCTTGTTGACTGCACACTGGGGGTCCTGGGAAGGGGGGGGAGGAATAATCAAGAAGAAATTACCCCAAAAGCACATCCCTCTGTAACCCCCACCCTCAGTCCTGGAAGAGCTTCACTGACAGAAGCTTCCCAGCATTTGATTTCACAGCTCAGAGCATCCTGCAGGGACAGACCGGGATTGGTAAGCCAGATGTGGCTGGTTTCACCCCAACAACCATTGCTCTTCTCCTGATACTGACATTTCTTCCTTTGCAGGTCTCCCCCCTTGCAGGATGGCTCCAGAGAGTCCTCACAGCTGCGTATTTACCTGCTGTCACTGGTATGGCCACGTCCAGCTCCCCGTTGTCTCAGACTCGGCTGGATCTGGGGCTCTCTCCCTCCCCTCTCTGCCACCTTTGGGGTGTCCCCCCCCATGATGAGGTGCTTCCACTTGCTTCTGCAGATGCATTGAGTGTGTCGGTCCCTCTGCCCAAAGTTCCCAACATCAGCCTCAGGAACGCCAAGGTTGACATCACCGACGTAAGGATCCCGCATCCCACAGCGCTGCCTGCCCGGGGAGCTGGGGATGCGCCCACCCGGGGCAGGGACCTGCCGAGCCCAAACCACACGCCCCGGCCAGCCCCGCTTCCCATGGGCTGCTCCCGCGTTCCAGGAGGTCCCACAGGAAAACCTCACCTGGGGAACGGGGGAAAGCTGGGAAATGTGAGTGCGAGAACTGAGGGGTTTGTGCTGCTTCTTGCAGGCAGACAGCTCTGCCGACCAGACCCGTCTGGACGATTCCTGCCCCAGCGGACCCTTGTCCCTGCTCCCCTTCCAAGACCGACAGCACCCCATGAGCTCCAGCCCCCTGCTTGCCTCCATGTTCCCTTGAGCGCTGCCCTGGGTCGCTGCTGCGGCCCAAGAGCGATGTGCAGCCAGCTCCAGTCAGTGGGTCCTGGCATAGCCTGGCGTCAGGGTAGGGAAAACTGCTCTGCTGGTGGATGCTGGGGGGGTCTGCGGCCACTTATAACACCCCTGGTGGGGAAGCAGAGCTCTGCCTTGGCTCTGAAGGCTGCTCTCCTACTGCTCTTCCAATAAAGCCTTCCTCTGCCTCAGTGTTTCTCTCTCTGAGGGTTTATTCCCACCCCGTCTCACTGTGCCCTGTGCCACCGGGCCGGCAGCGCAGCTGGAGGAGGCGGCTGTGCCCGGAGCCAGGAGCCGGCACCACGCCGAGGGTGGTTGCGGGGCTCAGGCTGCGGCGCAAGGTGTGGAGCAGCAGCTCGCACCCTCGGGAGCTGGGCTCTGGCGCGCGGGGGTGCTGCGGGTCCCGGCCCGGCTGGGTGCTGCGGGTCCCTGCCCGGCTGGGTGCTGCGGGTCCCACCCCGGCTGGGTGCGGCGGGTCCCCCCCGGATGGGTGCTGCGGGTCCCGGCCCGGCTGGGTGCTGCGGGTCCCACCCCGGCTGGGTGCTGCGGGTCCCCCCCCGGCTGGGTGCTGCGGGGACCCCCCCGGCTGGGTGCTGCGGGTGCGCAGGGGTGCTGGCAGCGCGCTGACAGTGCGGGGTTAGCAAGGGGCCGGCTGACATCGCCCGCTTGGAGCCCGTGTTGCAGCCGCTGCAGGGGCAGCAGCTCCTGCCAAGGGCTCGTTTGCAGCACGTCCCACATGGAGCTGGTTGTGCAAGGCTCTGCACGGAGCCAGGCCAGGAAAACTGAGCTCACACCCCCTCATCTGCTGCTCGTTTAGGAGCTCATTATCACCTTGTTATCACCTACACCAGGCTGATTGCCGCACCTGGTGTCTCACAAAGGTATTAAGTGTCGAGGACAGCAGGGCAGAAACACCCTCAGGGCCTGGAGCTGGCGCAGAGCAGCGTGTTCACCACCCTGGGGCTGTGGAAACTTCCTCTGCTGGGGACGGGCGGGATGATTCCCGGGAGCCGCTGCTGGGGTGAGCACTAAAGGAGACTAAAATCCCCTCGTGCTTTGCTAAAGGATCTCCAGGCTCTCTCTGGGAACTTAACATTGCCCCGATACAGTGGTGTGTGTGAGACACCCCGTTTGTGGGTGCTGGACACCCCGTTTGTGGGTGCTGGACACCCCGTTTGTGGGTGCTGGACACCCCGTTTGTGGGTGCTGGTCACCCTGCGCGCGGGTGTCAGCAGGGATTTGTCTGGAAGAAGCAGGATCCATCACGGATCTTGGGGCCATGCAGCTCGCAGGGTCTCAGGCTTCTCCTTTGCTTTAGCTCTTGGGTAACCACTACCCGATAGCTGGGTGTCCTGTAACCTGCTGCTCAAAGCTTTTCCCTGTTTGACAAATCTTTCTTCACGTTGGGATACATCAAACCCACAAATCCTGTTCTATACACTCAATCCTCTAGCCCAGCTTTTACAGTTTAGGCGTCTTTCCACATTTCTGCATTACCTTTGCTATGTAAGGACCCGCGGCTCCTCCCTGTTAAAGCAGAGGTGTCTCTGGACAGGGCAAAGGTCTCCCCCTGACCAGAAGCTGAGCACTGAGGACCAAAGTCAGGCTTCGGAATCCAGGATAAAGCCAGGTAAGGAAGGATGGTCAAACCAGTGGTACAGGGTGCTGTAAGCCTGGGGAGGCAGAGCCACCATTTTACCTGCCAGCCCTGCAATGTGCTCTGGTGAGCAAGAAAAGCTATGGGAATAACTCCAATAATGGTAGACATGCAAGTTCTAATTCTGGTTTATATTTAGTGACTAGCCTGAAAAATCAGAACAAAGGTTGCTATAGTAAAATGAAACCCTTCTCTGAAGAACCATATTCATTTGACACAAAAAGTTAACCCTTTTAAGGTTGTTAGTATGATTTTCATGGATGTAAGGTTCAAACAGGCCGTCTTAAGGAGAAAAGCTTTATTCCAATGCAAGTTTCTTGTAGCACTGCAGCATTCAATTGCATAGCTACTCAGAGGGTGGATACTAGTGGGGGCAGCTCAGTGGGGTCCATAGGTGATGGGTAACGGTTTCATACTGTAAGTTGGAAATGCTGTGGGGGTGCCCAGGAGCAGGAATAAGCAAACAGACCCTGGAGTGGTTCAGAAGCTGGCTCCTGCATCAGGACATGCTCTTCTTCCCCTTTCTGTGTGTGTCCAGGTCTGTTTGCTGAATGCAGCTCTAACTCGGGGCTGCTTTGGTTCTCCTCAAGCTCCTGGTTCCAGTCACTGAAAAATGTCCCCCAGATGGAAACACCTGACTCATCTCCAGCCTGCTCCCACCCTCTTCCTGACCAGGTCCTGCCGCAGCTCCCAGCCAAGCAGAGGACACCGTGGCACCGGCTCTGGCATTTCCTCCTGTGTGCTCTGCTGACTCCATCTCCAGGCCAGCCAAAAGGTGCCACCCCCAGGCTCAGTAAAGGAGTTGGAAGTGACGGTGAATCCCTCTGCCTCCTCGAGGTGAGACCCTGGGGAGCAGGAACCAACAGTGGTCCCTGGGGGTTGATGCTCTTGTACCAACACAGCCCGAGCAGCCCACGTGTGAGGTGCGGGCAGGGGGCTGGCAGCTGCCTGCTGGTCCCCTCTCGAGGGCAGCAGCAATGGCCAGGGTCAGCTCTGCCTCGTGGGTGATGGTCCAGCTCTTACAGGCTCCCTGCGGCAGAGCGATGATGTCCTCCAAGGCGCCCTCAGAGAGGTGCTGCTCAGGGGCAGACGTCCCAGCACAGATGGAAGTGGGGAGCTGCTGGGTGGCCTTGGAGGAGGTGTCCTTGGTGGTGCTGGTGCTGGTGGTTTGCTGGGTGGTGGTGGCAGGGGCTGCCTGGCAGCTGCTTGTTGGAGGGGGTGATGCCGGCGGTGGCTTGCTGGGTGGAGGAGGCGCTGGAGGTGTGTATGGGGGTGAGCCCAGACCCCCCCCCCCCAGGGAATGGCTGGCAGCTGGTGGCGATGCCCCCAGGGATGCTGTCCCCATGGGGGTGCTGGAGGAGCAATGGATCAAGGACATGTGCTCAGTGATGGAGATCCCCTCAGCACAGTCAGGACCCTTGGTGGCCCCCCTGGCAGTGGAGAGCTGCTCAGCAGCTTGCTCAGCGCCGTGCAGGGGCTCACTGGGTAAGGACAGCACTGGTCAGAGTCCATGTTGGGGGGGCACCACAGTGCTGGTTGTGGGCAGCAGTGGTGATGCTGCAGGAGATGCTCTGGTTTGGAGGTGATGCTTCGAGATAAACGACTCTGCCATTGCACCGCTGCTGCAAAGAGCCTCTTGAGCCGCACAAGGTCAAGGAAACAGGAGCCGACAGCAGCTTGCCCATAGAGGGTGCACCGAGCACACCGAGCAAGCGAATGCTCACTGGCTTGCAGCCACCCCATTTCAACCCTTATCTGAAGCCCAGCACCAAGCAGAAGCACAGGCAACAGTAACTCAGCTATAACAAAGCTTCTGGTGAAGCTGGCGAATAACTACACCAGGGAACCAACAGAGAAAGCTCGGTGTCTGTTGTCCTTTCTGGTCTAAGCAGCCCCTGAGCTTCCTCCGAAGGTCGCTCCCTTTGCCCTGTGCAGCCTCCTGGGCTTGCTCGGTGTCGCGGTGGAAGTGAGCATCACGTCAAGGGCCAGGCTCACCATGGACGGCACCGGCTACCCCACGCTGGCGACAGAGATGCGGCACCCTCCTCGGTGGCAGACTCCTGTGAGGGTGAGTGAGGGACGTGTCCTCTGCTGGCATGGGCCACCTCACCATTGGCTTTGCTGTCCCCAGCCTGCACCCACAGAACAGCAAACACTCAAGGGCATCTCCCCATGGCACGGTTCTCACTGGTGACAGCCACCCCCGGCCATGTCCCAGGGCTGGCCGTGGTGGCCCCTGCCTGCTCCATGTAAATGGACACGTTGTCCAAGGGCTGCACAACCCCACAGCGATCCCAGAGGGACATTCCTGTCCCACGTGTCACGCTCATGGGTCACTGTAACCGGCACTGCACAGCATCTGCCGAGATGGGAGATGTGGGGTGTAAATCATAGAACCCACTTGGGCTGAGTCTGGTTCTGCTCATTTGAGGAGACTCTACACTAGCAGATAAAAGGCAGCAATAAATTTCCCACTGGCTATTTTGGGATGCAAATTACACTTATCTCATGCAAAATCCAGGCAAGCCGAGTCACTTTGCTGCTGCAATTGCCTTGCTCCGGCAGGTCTCTGCTCCGCTCTATTCACAGGGAATTGTTTAACGGGAGCCATTTGCTCTGCAGCAGGATTTTTCATAGTGCTCCTTTATTTTTCCACAGCCTGCTCCCAATTGTGGATAATTTATTGGCAAGTGTCCTGAACAGACTTCTTCCTGATCTGGTGCGTTGGGATGAAACTTCCACCCTGGAAAGGAGCAATGAGTCTGCAAAGCTGCAGCGCAGCTCCTGAGGCATCGCTGGAGTCCCAGAATGGGAGCACGGCCATGGGTTGGGATTAGGGAGACACACGCCGTGTCTCCATCTGCTGCTCCCTCCCTCCCTCGCTGACAAGGTCAGTGCCCCAGCGCAGGTCCGCCTGGCTGCTGGGAGCTTCTAAGGATTCTCTGGACCATGTTGGGGCTCATTGAACCTCTCCTCCCTCCTAAAGCCCCAGGGTCTCTGCCGCCGTCCCACATGGGCCCTGGGACCCTGCTTCTCTGACCAAGGGTGAAGGTGCCCAGGGGCAGGTCCGGAGCTGGTGCAGCCCCAGCAGCACTGGGAGCGCTGCCCCCTTCGTGCCTGGTGCTCCCATTCCCAGGCCAAACGGGGCTGTGAGTCCTTGTCCGGCTCTGACCGTGGGTCACCCCCTGTCCCCCCGACCCCTGCAGCTCTGCCCGGTGGTTGACATCGCCCTGGGACTCGTAAACAACAGCTGGGTCTTGTGAACTGGGAGTACTGGTGGGTCCCTGCCCTGCCCTGCCTTGTCCCCGTCACCTCTGCTCTGCCTGCCTGAGGACTGTGAGGCTTTCCCTCTGCTGCTGCAAACCCCTCACTTCACCCCATGGACCCCTCATCTCCCCTTTCCCCGTCTCTAATGACGGACAGAAGGACCCCTTGGTGCATAACTGGGCACTGCAGGGGGCTGTGAGCTGGCCCCTCCGTTCACAGCTGCTCCGTAGGGAGACGATGTCTCCTGCAGCACAGAGTGCAGGGAGCCAGGGCCAGGGAGCTGCCCTGAGCACCTGCTGCAAACCAGGGCTCCTCTGGAAGGAAAGATCTGCTGGGCTCAGGAGGGGCGATTTGCACCTGAGCCCACAGGGAACCACTGAGTCCCATCCTCTGCCCCAGCGCTGGTGCCCCGGGCGTGCTGGGCAGCATCGAGTACACCGCGTCCAGCCTTCCCCTGGTTCCAACCTGTTCCTCGAGGTAGGCTTGAACGTAAGTCAGTCAAGTGCTGCATCTTCTGCCCCGTGCGCCAGGGCTGGGCTATCGGGTTTGGGAAGGTTCCCTTGAGCCACCCGGGCAGCGGGTGCCAAGGGCGCCGCGGGAAGCTCAGGGAGATCCCAGCGCGTTCCCTGCTCCCGCTGCTGCCGTCATGGGAGGGCACCACAGGGCTCCCGTTTCCCGAGTGCCCGGCGAAGGGAGCGCCGCGGGGCTGGCTCGTGGTCATGCGTGCAGCCATCGCACGCTCCAGGGGCGCGAAGAGCCGTGACGGCAAACACTGCAATGCCCTGGCCGCTTCCTTTCCGTGGAACTCCAGGCTGTCATGGGGAGCGTGGCTGGGGCCGGCTGGACCATCGGCTGGCAGAGCCAGCAACTGCCCCCACGGGTGCCCGTGCCCCTGCTGCCACCCATGGCAGCCACCGGCTCCGCGCGTCTGGGCACCTCCTTGAACCTCCTGAGCTTGGTGCCGTGTCCTGCAGAGCCCCCCTGCCCTCTGCTCCCTCTCTGACCACAGCACACCTCCTTGCTGGCCCCGTTCTCAGTCGAGGACAATAAACTGAAGTAGGGCACCGCGGGGCGGCCATGGCCATGGCTCTGCAGCGATGGGGGCAGCAGCAGGACTGGGTCATCAGAGGAAGTGCTTGGGTTTTACTCACCTCTGGTTCCTCCCGCAGGGCCGATCTCTCCTTGGTGTCCTCGTCCATCGGCGGCTTTGACGTAGGAACAGGAGCAGCCTCAGCAGCACACAAAACCCACTGCAGAAAGGAAAGCGCTGGTGGACACTGGCTCAGGAGAACTGAGAGCCGGTAATGGCTGTGGTCTGTTTTGAACAGCACCTTCCCGTCACCTCTGGACGTGGACTTTTTTCATGGCTGATCCATGAGTGGTTCTCAGGCAGATCCTCACTGTGAGGCCCTGGCTCCATGGAGAACAGAGGACATCCCACACATGTCCTCAATGTCCCCTTGGGATGTGCCCAGGGATGCTCATCCCTGTGCCTCGTAGGGGACAATGGGAAAAGCCAGGGGACCCTGGGCTCTCCTGTGGCAGGATACCTGCGGATAGAGCACGTTTGGTTTCCAGGGGTGGCTCCTGCAGGACAGGGTGAGGCCTCGGGACCAGCGGTGGCACTGAGGGACCCCTCTCCCTGCTGCAGGTCTCCCTCCTGGACACGCTCATTGGCCAGGTTCTCGATGTTGCCCTCGTGCCTGCAGTGGACGGTGAGAACCTGCCCGCTCCCCGTGCTGGGTGTGCCATCAGTGTCTGCAGTGAGCTTCACCCCACTGCATGGAGCAGGAGCCAGCGGGACCTGCACTGAGGGCCTTGGGTGGGGTGGGAGGGCTTTGCTGGGAGGTGAAACCTCACACCCTGAGCAGCCTCCCCGGTTGCTTCGCTGGCAGCAGCAGCAATGGCAGGATGCTTCGGGGACAGCAGCAATGGCAGGATGCTTTGGGAGCAGCAGCAATGGCAGGATGCTTTGGGAGCAGCAGCAATGGCAGGATGCTTCGGGGACAGCAGCAATGGCAGGATGCTTTGGGAGCAGCAGCAATGGCAGGATGCTTTGGGAGCAGCAGCAATGGCAGGATGCTTTGGGGGCAGCAGCAATGGCAGGATGCTTTGGGAGCAGCAGCAATGGCAGGATGCTTTGGGAGCAGCAGCAATGGCAGGATGCTTTGGGAGCAGCAGCAATGGCAGGATGCTTCGGGGCAGCAGCAATGGCAGGATGCTTTGGGAGCAGCAGCAATGGCAGGATGCTTCAGGGCAGCAGCAATGGCAGGATGCTTTGGGAGCAGCAGCAATGGCAGGATGCTTCGGGAACAGCAGCAATGGCAGGATGCTTTGGGGGCAGCAGCAATGGCAGGATGCTTTGGGAGCAGCAGCAATGGCAGGATGCTTTGGGAGCAGCAGCAATGGCAGGATGCTTTGGGAGCAGCAGCAATGGCAGGATGCTTTGGGAGCAGCAGCAATGGCAGGATGCTTCGGGGACAGCAGCAATGGCAGGATGCTTTGGGAGCAGCAGCAATGGCAGGATGCTTTGGGGACAGCAGCAATGGCAGGATGCTTTGGGAGCAGCAGCAATGGCAGGATGCTTCGGGGACAGCAGCAATGGCAGGATGCTTCGGGGACAGCAGCAATGGCAGGATGCTTCGGGGGCAGCAGCAATGGCAGGATGCTTCGGGGACAGCAGCAATGGCAGGATGCTTCGGGGACAGCAGCAATGGCAGGATGCTTCGGGGACAGCAGCAATGGCAGGATGCTTCGGGGACAGCAGCAATGGCAGGATGCTTCGGGGACAGCAGCAATGGCAGGATGCTTTGGGAGCAGCAGCAATGGCAGGATGCTTTGCCAGGATGCTTTGCCAAGTCCCGTGGCACAAAAGCCCTTCTGGAGAACCCTGCGGAGGGGGGGTTGCACACTGAGAGGATGGAGCTGGGGACTGAGGTTTGGCAGCGAGCCCTGCCTGGCACGGAGCTGGGCTGGGCTGTGCCCCACAGAGGTGCTGGCAGAGGGGGTTCCCCTCCCCGGGCTGCTGAACATCGACATCGATGTCATTGAAGTGCTTCAGACGTGCCCCGATGGCAGCCCCGCTCCGGGGCTCTGCACAGAGGATTCCAGAGGAAACCAAACCCCTTTGCTTCCCCAGGATCTCTTGCTGTCAGTGTGAGCCGGGGACTCCGGGCTGCCAAGGGAGCCCTGGGTTTCCCTCTCTGCCCCCGGGGTGATGGGACTCAGCCTGCCCAGGGAGTCCCTGCTGCATTGCTCTTCGTACCCAATGCAGTAACTTGGTCTCCTCCATGCAAACACTGCGTCCCACCTGCATTGCTGGGACCTGGACCGCGGTGGGGTTTGGCTCTGAACGTTGTTTTGACTCCTCTGTGGACGCTCGGAAGGATCGGGGGTATTTTGTGTTCTCATGCTTGGGTTTAACAAAGTCCATCCCCTTCTGCAGCCACCACTGGTGCTCCGGCCTCTGTGTGTGTGTGGGGGGGTGTTCCAGTGAACCCCGGGGCTCAGGATGGCCCCCAGTTTATTTATGGCCAGGCTCTTCCCTGCTCTGTTGGAGCAATGAAGCCTTCTCTAAGGCTCTAAAGCTGCCTGTTGCTCTGGGGGAAAGGGGAATAGCTGGGTCAGATGTAATATTGCTGCCTTAGAGTCTGTCCTGCCCTGTCCAGCCAAGATCCACCCTGAAAACCACCTGGAAACAGGTTTTTCCTGTCATCTTTCATGCTTTTCTTCCCTTTCTCTCTATATTCATTTCCCCATTTTCTTTTATTTGCTGTTTCTCAACTTCTCTTTAAACTGTTGAGGTTTTTCTTGGAGGCACAGCCCATCTCCTGCTCTCCTCTGGGTGACAGGCAGGTTTCACAGCACAGCTGCTATGCCCTAGATCCACACGCTCCTAGTTTGTGACAACTTTTCATTTTAATCTGCCTCACGCTGTTTCTGTATGGAATTAACTCGCTGGCAGGTAATGCTCACCTCTCACTGTCCCTGGTGAATATGATGGAGCATCCCCTGCGCCATTCCTGAGACCCTCTCTTTAGCCAAAGAGATAAGAGCATCCCCAGCTCCTCGTGGCATCCCCCTGCACCCCAAGGTTCTGAGGTGGCTCAGAGTAACCGTGATGCTCTAAGGATGCTCAGGGGTCTGCATGCAGAAAGAAGAGGGGGGAGAAGGAGGAATCACAGATTTCCACCTTGATCAGCATCTTTCTGCTTCACTTTGGGAGAGCAAAGCAAGAGAGACACTGAGTAGCCATGAGCAGCACAAGCCCGTGCTGGCCATGGCCATGTCCAGCTTCTCTGGACCATGTGCAAGGAGCCGCATGGCGCTGGGTGGGATGGAGCCTGACCAGAGCATCCCCTGCCTGAGGACACGGGCTGCTGCACCAGCACCCAGGGGTGCATTGCTGCACCCTCACCCCCGGTGCTGCTGCCCTGGTCCCAGGGGCAGGAGGAGAAGCCCGGGGAGCGGGATGCAGCGTGTCCGGCAGGAGGAGAGCCGGTGGGCACCGCATCCAGGCTGAGCTGCTGGCCAGGGCCCAGCACGGCTACGTGCAGCGTGCGGGGTCAGGCTGGTGCAGGGTTCACACTTCACAGCCAGCGAGGAGGAACTATCCCGCTTCATCCTTCCCTGGACCTTCCTGGTTCCTGCAGCTCGGGTATATAAGGCTGCTCCTGCCAGCCAGCCCCGCAGAGCGGCCACGGCAGCAGCACCACTGCAGCAAAGGGCTCCAGGTAAGCGGTGTTGCGGCACAGTGGCCACGGAGCAACTGCTCCCGTTGGGTGACCTGCAGCAAAGTGTGACGCGGCTTTAAAAGCAGGAATTTTAATGATGTTTTCTTTGACTTCTGTAGCAGCATTTAATAATTGATGAGAATTAATTTTTAAAGCCAGCAGAGCTCTTGCTTGTCAAATTCCATGTTTATTTTTGTTGTTACGTTACCACTGAGCCAGCAGAAGTGACTGGGGGTTGGTTGCTTCATGCTCTCGGTGACCAGAATTCAGAGCCATTTTCAGCTTATCAGGTCTCATCTGAGCTGCTGTAAAGCCTTCATCTGCAGAGCCATACATGAATTTTGCATGTGCAAGATGTTCAGCCTAAACGTGTGTGACCAAGGAGACAGCAACCTGATAGATAACGTTAATAACTGCGGCGGCAGTCGCGTTCTAAGAGATCTTCTGCAAGACCTGAGAGCCTTTGGGGGAGCCTCTTGCAATGCTGCACACGTCTTGCAGAGACCCTCCAACAAATCCCCCTGATTTTATTTGACACGGTTTTCAATAGGAGCTGCCTGAGCCTCCCTCCTCCTCTCCTGTTCAATAATCCCAGCTCCAGGAGCTGTGCATCACTGCGCTCTGATCAAAGGGAAAATCTCAAAGACAGGCCAGTGAATTAAAGTCTAATTTGATTGTGCCAAGAACTGTCATGGAGGGATTGTTTTCAGAGCACCTGGAACTGATAGCGCAGGTGTTCAGTCTGACCTCAATAGTGACGTTGCTCGGTGCTGAGGCTCTGCAATCCTTTCCTCAGAAGGGAAAGCTGGGACGAGGCCTAGGACATGGGTGCTGCAGGTGGGCATTCCTGAAACAGGGACCCACGGCAGCGCTTCCCTGGTTTCCTGTTCTCACTTATTTGAAGCACCTTTCTGTGCCTAAACAAGCACTCCACAGTGGTGATTGCAACCCCAAGGTGCCCAGGAACGCAAGGTCCTTGAAGGTGCTTTCTTTTGAATAGAGGCAGATCAAATTCAGGGAAAATGGGCTCTTTTCATAGCCTGAATGGAGCGCCATGAGAAGAGCAAACAACCTGCCCATGGCAAAGGGAGTGTGGTCTGGCTGTGCCGTGGGCTTTAATAACAGTGTTCTTCATAGCAGGGAGAAGGACGCGGCTTTGACACGCACCGTTTTTCATCCGGCTGCGTCCCTGTGAGTGCTCCTCTTCCAGGGTCACTTCGGAGCGGTGGGAAGCCATCCATCTCTCCCTGCAAGGTCCTCCTGCCTCATCTCCATCCTCGAGCTCTCTTGAAATGGCATTTTCTCCCTGCAAGCTTCCCTGCAGTGACAGGCACCAGCTCTGCAGAGGGGTAGCCCACGGGCATGCACAATGCAGAGCAGCTCGGCGCCGTGCTTCAGTGGCTGCCTGATAACCAGGAGCAGTTTGACCTTTCCGGGTGGGAAAAGGGTGCTGTGGGTCTGGGCTGGCCCCTGGGGGCTCCATGTCCAGGGGGGGACCTGCCCCACTGCCTGGGAGCAGCGCACGTGAAGGATGGAGAGCCGGATCGGTGCCCAGGCTGCCCATTCCTATGGGGTGGGGCTGATGCTTGAGCTGATGTGGGTTTCTCCACAGGTGCTGGGTCAGAAGATGCTGCGCTTCTGGTGTCTCGTCCTTGCCACAGGCCTCCTGCCCCCCTCCCAGGGCCTCCTCAACCTGGGCAGTGTCCTTGGGCTGAGCCCAGCGCAATCCAAAGACGGTGAGCTCCGCGGTGCTCCGTGTGTCCCATGGGAGCATCCTGGCACAGGTGGGAAGTCTGAGGAGCAACTGGGACTTTCTTGTGCAGGTCTGCTTGGAACCGGTCTTGGCAGCGAAGGTCTCCTCAACCAAAAAAGTGGCTTGCTTGGCACAGGCCTCTTTGGTGAGGATGGGCTCCCCGGTACCGGCATCCTTAGCACGGGAAGTCCGAGTGGAAAAGGTAGCGGAGGTTCCAGTGATGCAGGAAAAGAGTCCGGCAGCTCTGGGATCCTCGGGACAGGCCTCCTAGGTGAGGAAGGTCCACATGGCATGGGTGTGCGTGGGAGAGGAGGCTGCTGGGCGGTGAAAGCCAGGCCAGTAATGGAGATGTGACTGTTACAGGAGGACAACCTGGCAGCAGCGGTCTGCTCGGCACTGGCGTCCTTGGTGGAGATGGGCTCCTTGGCACTGGTGTCCTTGGTGGAGATGGGCTCCTTGGCACTGGCGTCCTTGGTGGAGAAGGCCTTGGCAATGGTCTCGGCAGTGCCCTCCTTGGCAATGCGAGCCTTCTTGGACAGAAAGGTTTGCTTGGCACAGAGCTGCTTGGAAAAGGAGGTCTCCTGGGCAATGGAAGTCTCCTTGGTCTCGATGGCGTGCTGGGTGCAGGAGGACTGCTGGGCGGTGGAGTCCCTGGCACACCAACACACTTCTCCTGGTAAGTGGGCACCGAAGCACAGGGGTGGTGCTCACTGCAGGGTAACGGATCAGTCCAGAGGATGGGTTTCCCTAAGGGGATGCTCAGGAGCCAACTCCTCCCTCTTACACCAACCACCAGTCCCGGGCTCATGTGAGGAGCTGAGATAGGGAAATTCCAACCAAAGATGGGAAAAGTCTTCCCTATGGGAGTGATGCGACACTGTGATGGGCACCCCGGGAGCTGGGGGTGCAGCCCTGAGCAAACTGACCCTGCTTTGAAGTTGTCCCTTCCCCACCATCACTTTTCACTGGGAATATCCCCAGAGGTAGCAGGTCATGCAGTGAAGAGGAGGAGATGGGGCTGCGGGGGCTGCTCCTGCTGACCCTGCCGTCCCAAGGTGGGTTTGCTTTGGTGTCGGCCCAGGCTGAAGGTGCTGAACCTCGAGAACGTGCGAGTGTCCTGCAGGGTCGTTCACGGCAGCGAGTTTGTGCTGAGCCTGTACTCGAAGCTGGTGCTGCGCTTGCCAGGGTGAGCAGGGCTGGGGGAGGCGGCGGAGCGGGGCCGGGGGGAGGATGGCATCTTCCTGGGTGCTGGGGGAGCATCCCCAGGCGCTGGTGGCACTAAAGCATCGCCCCGGCCAAGCCGACTCCAGTGGCCCTGGCACAGCCAGGGGCAGCTCCGGTTCAGCCAGGGGCAGCTCCGGTTCAGCCAGGGGCAGCTCCGGTTCCCGAGGTGCTTCCCTGTCCCCCAGGATTTTTCAGTTTCTGAGCGGCTCCTCGGTGGAGACAAACATCACGTCCCACATGGCGCTGACCCAGGACACCCCCGGGGACCTCAAGCTGGTGTCTAAGGATTGCAGCAACCTGCTTGTGGGCTTCAAAGTCAACCTGCGGAGGGGGTGAGCGTGGGCGCTGAGGGGGTTTAGCAGGGATGGAGCCATCACTCGGGAGCTCAGCCCAGCCCCTCTGTGCCTACCTGGGGCTCGTCCATGGCCGGGTTGGATGGGGCTTGGAGCAAGGGGTCCCTGCCCGTGGCAGGGGTTGGCGCTGGAGGAGCTTTAAGGTCCCTTCAACCCAAACCACTCTGGTTCTGTGACTGTTCTACGACATAGCCATTGATCTGTGTGGAGCAATGCATGCGCTCGGAAGTGGTTAAAACAAGAGGCAGGACTCGCAGCTCTTTGCAAGTCTGCAGCGGGGCAGAATTTCAGCCTCAAACCTGGGCACAGATTTCCCCCTCAGCAACCAGATTTGGGAACCAGGGAGCAAAATCCGCAGCATCAGTAATTCCTGCTGAAGCCTGGGGGAGCTGTGGGCTCGCGGCATCTTTTAACGCAGCGGCAGGAGCAGACGACGGGTGCTGGTGCTCCCGTCCCGTGCTCAGGGGGCAGAGCTGGGGTTTGTCTGGATGCCAAGGCCTGGCTCTGAGGCCTCCCCCAGCGATTTCTGTGCTTCCCTCCCTCTGCAGGTTTTTCACCACCATGGTGAGCAATCTGCTGAACAGCTCCCTCCGGTCCCTCATACCCGCGCTGGTGAGTGCCTCAAAGCCCGTCGCTCTCAGAGCTGCACTTACTGCAGCTCTCGCCATAGCTGTGCAGCAGTTACTCACACACACTCTCTATACATACATGTGCACACAGCCACATCCCGTGAGTGAATTCCCAAACTCCCCTGATCTTTCTTACAGCCCGGAGTTAGTTGTTAGGAGCAATTCAAACGGCATCGCTCGGTGGCACGGGGTAATCGGCACCCGACGGCTCTGTGAAAGGCCGGTTCCGAGGCGCTGAGCAGGGCTGGCAGCCCCAGAGGAAAGGGGCTTCTGAGCAAACCCTTTGTTCTGTTCAATGGAATCCGTGCCCCTCGCAGAGAGGGCTCAACAACTGATGTTGTTTTTTCCATGGGGGGGCCTGTGAGGAGCCGATTGTTCCATCTTGAGTTAAACCTGTGAATCCCACGCAGTGGTAGGAAGCGCATTGCTACACCCATGGTGTCCTCACCAAGGCTGAGCCACTTGTTCCTTTGCAGCTCTGCCCGCTGGTGAACATCTGGGTCAGCATCATCAACATTAAGCTTCAATTCCTCAACCGTAAGTCGTCAAATTGCCTTTTCTACATTAACTTTTAGAGGAACACTTGAGCTCTCTCTCCAGTCACCTCCACAGGCCCTGGGGGGCTCAGGAGAGCCGGACCCACTGGAGAAGGGGTTGCTTTGCTTGGCAAAAGCTGCTGGGGGGGCACAGTCCTGGCTCATCCCTGGTACCTGACGTGGCAAAACCACCCTGGCCCTGCTGTCCTCCAGTGCCCAAGGCCAGGTTGGACACAGGGGCTTGGAGCACCCTGCTCCAAGGTGTCCCTGCCCGCGGCAGGGCTTGGAGCTGGAGGAGCTTTAAGGTCCCTCCCAACCCAACCCATCCCGTGGTTGTGTGCTGGGGCCGTGGCCAGGCAGGACTGAGCTCCCCAGCCTCTGGCTCCATGCACCAGCACGGGCAGAGCACCCAGCAGGTCCTGGTGAGCAGCCGGCTCTGCCCAGCCCCAGCCCCACTGACCTCTCCTCAGGCGTCGTCTCCTTTGGGCTCCTGGGGAAAATCCACTCGGCCCTTTCCAGTTTGCCGGTGTCGAGCGGGCACTACATGGAGCTGGACCTGCAGGTACGGCCGTGTCCACCCCGGCCCCCCCGCCCTCCCTCTCCCTCCCCTCTCACACCTTCCTCTCTCCTTGCTTGCACAGAACTACCCATTCCCAAGCGCCTTCATCGACTGGCTCCTGCGCAGTAAGTCCAGGCACAACGGGATCCCCACTGTGGGCCAGACGGGCAGCAGCCCAGGCTGTGGGGATGCTCGGGGCGATGCAGCCCTGCTGCAGGTAGTGGCCAAGAGCGGGTCCCCACGGCCCTGGGGTGCAGCCAAGGTTCAGGGTGCTGACGCATCTCAGGAAGGTCCCACAGAGCGCTTCCACCCCACACAGCGGTGCTGGGGGTGGTTCCTGGTCCGCAGTCCTCAGAGGCATCCCCCGGCTCAGGCCCTCGCTGCCTCTGGGTGTGCGGGTGTGAGACAAAGTCTGTGTTCCCCTACACGGGCCCTGCACAGCCCTGGAAAAGTCGTTCACCTCTCATAAGAGGATTTAATAATATTTACTTAATAGGAGTGAATAATGGTCCTCGGGATGCTGTGAGGATTAATTAGTATTTGCAGAGGTGATTGGAAGAGCTTTCAGCCTCATATGCATGCAAAGTTAATATATAGAGGAGGGAAGGAAGAGCTGGCTGCGGTCCCAGCTTCCCCCGAGGCGTGCTCCTCAGGGCACTAAATCAGCTCTGCCCCTGCAGCTGAGGGATCTCAGCCATTGCTGTGTCGGGAGCCGGCCCCACAGATGGGAGCTGTGGGGCTGGGGGGGCCGGGGGGCACTGACCTGGGTCCCTCTCCCCAGTCACAGGCATCAACCTCGGGGGCACTCCGTAGCCATGGGGCCAGCAGCGCTGTGGGGTAAGGATGGTTTGCTGGGACCTGGCTCAGAGCCCCGGTGCTGGTGCTGGGCTGGCTGAGCCGAACCCTCCAGAGCTGAGCCTGCACTGATGGGGAGCACGGAGCTGCTGCTCCAGGCTCCTGCGCTGCCCAAAACCTCAGCTCCAGCATCCCCACAGGTACCCCACGGCCATTCCCACTGCTCCACCGTGAGGAGGAGGAGGAGGGAGGAGGATTGCTGGATACATGGAGAACAGACAGGAAAATAGAGAAACCCACCCAAGAAAACTCCCTGCTTCTTCTGCGTTACGTTTCAGACTGATCACTGGAGTCTCGGTCCACCCCAGGGTTAGCAGTGCCAAGAGTTATCTTTGCTGCTGCATAGTGTGCCAATGCACTGCTCCCGCTGGATCCAGGGCAGCAGCCTCAGGCCATGCCCACATTCACTCCCGGTGTCACAGCCACAAGCCACTCATTAGGGCACCCACTAACGAAGGTACAGCCTGACCCCAGCCCCTCCTCAAGCACCCCACGTTCTGCCTGGCCCTGGGCTGTGGTTTGGGCTGGGAATTGCTCGGCACGGAGAAGCCTTTCCTGGTGCTGGACCAAGCCCCCCCTGGCTGGCAGTGGGGATGTCATCCCATGCGGCTGCCCCATGGGAGCCCTGTGAGTTTGCACCAAATCCCTGTGAAGGGAGAGAAAAGGGACAAGCACCAGCGGCCTGTGGAGGCTTTGTCTTTGCTCTCCTTCTGCTCCGTGACGGGTTTACCATTTCAAAAGGAAATGTTGCTGCTTCCAGCGATTTCATCCTGTTAAAAAGAAGGCAGAAAAAGGCCTAATCCAGCCCGTACGTGGCTGATGCGTTCCCACACAGCTGTGCTTCCAGTGATCAGAGGAAACGCTATCCCGTCCTGTGATCCGCAAGTGGGGCTGGGTGTCGCGCGTGGTGGGGGAGGCGGATTCACGTCCCTTCTGTTACTGCTTGCAATAAAAGGGTTTTCTTCATCTGCATTCCGCACGTGGCTTGGTTCCTTTCTAACCTGCCACAGGGGTTCTGTGTTTGCCGGGGCTTTGCTGTTTATCTCCCCATCAGCCCAGCAGTGACTCACAGCAAAGAGCACTGAACAGGTACATCTGCTGGCAAGGTGGGGAGCCACGGCCAGGCCAAGCCCTGCCGACCCTCTCCCGGCTAAGGGCACGCAGCCGTGGTCCACGGGAGCAGTAACTGCTCCCCTCATTTGTATTTATGCAGATTTATGCTGCCCTTTTCCCTCAGCCTCTGGTTCTTTTGTTCTCTGCTCCTGCTCCCCGCGTGCTGCCAGCGAGCCGGGAGCTGTCGGACATGAACAAACACGTCCCTTGTGCCCCGCTGGGGCTCATCCCCAGACTGGGGCTGGGACCAGGACCCCGGGGGTGCCACACGGCACCGCGTGGCATCAGCCCCTTCCCAGTGCCGTGGTGGCTCCACTGCGAAGCACCAGCACCCTCCTCTGCCTCTGCCCGTCACCGGTCCCTCTGCTCCTGCCCATCCCATGGGCACAGAGGGGGTCCCGGGAGCCAGATTTCCAGGCAGCATCTCCCCTGCTCCCCAGGACCCACTGCTCACCCCACATTCACACTCGACTTTGCCACCAGCTGCGGGACTTGGCTCTTCCTCACTGAGGGCACTCAGGAGCGGAGGTGAGTGGAGCAGCAGGGCTGAAGGTGCTGGGCAAGGGGGCCATGGGGGTGCCCCCGCAGCCGACACCAGCCCCACTCTGGGGCTCCACTCCCCAGCTGGGTTTGACAGGAGTGGGATCTGTGTGAAACCGGCCCCGTGCTGGGCAGCACCAGCACAGGGGAGCAAGGGCTCGACAGGAGCAGTGATGAGCGCCTTTGGAGCTGAACCACAGCTCAGGTATTTCAGCTCAGGGTCCCCACAGAGTTATCTGTGCGGGGCAAAAGCTGCCAGGGTTTTATTCGTCAGAAAGCAGCAGCTTCTCACCATTTCCCCGTGGTCAGGAGGCTGAAGGGCTCAAATGCCCACCAGAAAACCAGCTTCTAAACGCAGTGATGAAACGTGAGGTCTGGGCCGGTGGGCGGGGGTTTGCTTTGGCCCCTGTCCATGCAAAACCAAAGCCCTGAAGGCAAACAACAGCCTCGGCTTTCACTGGGCTCGCTCCGGTGCCTCTTTCGTAAGGTGCTTTGTTGTACAAGAGCACCCGGCCCAGCTCTGAGCATCTCCCACGCTCTCCCACCCAACAAGGGCACAAAGAGCCCTGGAAGATGGATGAGAGCTCGGCGCTTGCAGCCGGGCACTGCGGATGCTGGGCCCATTAGGGTACCATTGCTCCCAGTAGGGCTGTGCTGGGCTCTCTGCTGAGCACGGGTGGGGGAGGTTTTCCCATCAGCAGCTGTTAAAGATGGAGTTAAATGAGGAAACCCTGAGCAGAATCTTCACCTCCAACGTCAGCACGGTCCCTGTCTCAAAGGGAACTGTCCTGTGAAACACCCGCTCGGGTCTGACAGCTTCCAAGCTGCCCCCGGCCTTCCCGAGACTTCCTGCCACCGGGTAACAAGAAGATGATGTTAAAAGCAGGTTAAAAGCAGCCGGAATAACGCAGAGGGGATGGAGCCGCTTGCTCAGGCTCAGCCCCCTGCATCGGGGCTGACGGGAGGGGGAGCCCCCGCTCCGGCTGCTCCTTGCCTCGGGCTGTGGTGAGCATCCCTCACCCGGTGGCTCCGTCGCGGTGCCGCCCCACGCCCGGCCGCTGCCAAACCAGGGCTCCTGCGGGGAACCGGGCACCTTTCCCTTCACTGACGCAAGGAGCGAGGTTTGGGTTTGCATCAATCCTCTCCCCCCACGTCCCACCCCTGCCCTGCCCCATGTAATCGACTCCTGGAATGAAGCCCAGGGATGCATTTTCCTGGTCTTAGGAAAGAGACGGAGGAGATTTGGGTGTTTGCTTTGCTACCACTGAAGGTTCAGTGAGACAGTCCCTGAAGCCGGCTCCCTGACTGCTGGGAAGGTGCCTCCAGCAGAACAGAAACCCCAGGCATGGCCCCTTGAAATAATGGGAGATAATTCCCATTCATTTCCAGTTTCCTAGGAAAAGTTCTGCTAAGAGGGGTGAGAACGTCCCAGCATCCTGTCCAGTTAAACCTTAACAGTGTCCAACACTGGGGAACCCAGTAACTCCAGCTTATTCCAATGCTGATTGTTTTCATTGGGAAAACCTGTCCCCTTGTGTTCAGTCAGACACCCCCCCCCCCCCCCAGGAGTGACTTGTGCCCATCACTGCCCGTCTGTCCCATGGGACACCTGTGAAAAGGGAGTCTCAGAGAATCATCCTGGTTTTCCAGCCCAACCCCGCTGTCCCCATGGATTGCACCACCTCTGCCTCATGGAGGCATCTGGATTACTCTATTGGCTCGCGAGAGCACCAGGGTGGCAGAGCTCAGGCTGGGATTAGAGGGGAGCAGAGACACCCCAGTGTCACCTCAGCTCCCAGCACTGGCCACCCTCCCCTCACAGAGCCCCGGGTGACTCTGCAATAACTCAGGCAGCAGGGGAAAAGACTGGAATAAAAATATCTGGAAGATACGGAGCCATTAATGAAAAGCATCAGAAAATAGATATCAAGTAATGACACCATGGTGAGAGCTTATTAATAGCAAAGGCTAAAGATAAAGCTAATTTAAAGCTGATGAGACAGGACAGCTCATCTCCAGGAGAACAAGAAGTCAATAGCTGGCTGTCAGTACAGGAGCAAATTGCTCGCAAGGGAGGAGGGAAAGGCACAGGCCCCAGAGCAGCAGCTGCTGTGACAGACCTGTGAGATCCACTCTGCATTCACAAAGCCCTGGAGAGCTGGGGGTGCTGTTCACATCCCATTGGAATTCCATGCACAGCCAGCAGCACTCCAGGGTGTTGCCTGGATGGAAATGCTCTCCTGGTGCTGGGTGGGCTGTGGAGCAGCTTGGGGCTGGTGCGAGGACACTGGGATCCAGGCACTGCCCGGTGCTGCGATGGAGAGCACCTCGAGTTGCCAGCACAGAGGAGCTGTGTCTGAAGGAGCCTTTAGGAGCAGCCGTGCTCTTCCTGCTGGAGCCCAACCACAGCCCATTCCCGAAAGGAACAAACTCAAGGTATAAATGAGCTTAGAAACGGAAACCCTGTTAAAACATTCTCTGTGTTGCATTAAATCCCAAAGCTTCACGCAAACACCTTCAGCAATGGTGATGAAAACCCACCGCAGGAGACCCCCATGGACCCCAGCCCGCAGCAGAGGTGGTGCAGGAGGAGGAGGCCGGGGGAAAAGGGCTGGCAAGAGCAGAAGCCTCTCTGCCGCAGTGACATCCCCTGGGCACGGGGAGGGAGCTGCTCCGAGCCTTGGAGATGGGCACAAGGCTGGGCAGGGGTAGAGCAATGATGCTGAGGCTGAGGCTGCCCTCAGGCTGGTGACTGCTGCGGTGAGCTAAGAGCGCCCGCTGCCGCCTGTCCCTCCCTGGGAGCCCAGCCGGGACCTGGGGCCAAACGGGTTTGTTCTCCAGCGCTGCGATGGGCGCCAGAGAACAAACGGGCTCCTGTTCTCCCCGGCAGAGACCCCCCTGCACGTGAAGCTGTGTGTGTGCCCGTGGCGATGCCCAGCGCCCGCTGCGAGCGGCGGGGAACACGTGCAGGCGGGGTTGGGAAATCCCGGGCTCAGGAGATGCCAGGGGGCAGCGGCACCCCCGCACCTCGGGGCTGTGCGGGGAAATCCCAGCTGCGGGAGCTGCTGAGGGGTTTGCCCGCGGCTGGCACCGGGCAGGGCTGGCTGCAGGAGGCACGGGAGCCTTGCTGCGTTCCCAGAGGGACCGGGGCAGGAGGAGCCGCGGGGCTGAGCCCGCAGGACGCCGATGGAACCCCAGCCCAGCAGACAGGGAACCACAGAACTCCTGCTGCTTGGCAGCAGCGGGACAGGCTGGAGGGAGCAACGTGCCTTGTGTGAGCTGCTGTGAGCACTGATCCCTGTCAGACACTTACCCCCAAACCTGGCCCCATCCCGCTGTGAATCGGGGGGGAGCTGTGGAATCGAGAGGTGTGAAGGAGAAGGGGTCCTCGGGGCCTCTTTGCAGAGGCTACATTTGGAATGAGCCTCTGCTTCAATCAGAGACCCCATTAACCCAAATGAGAGGCAGATGTTCCAGGGCAGGGGCCGCAGGGCCCAGCTGGGGGCACACAGGACAGCACAGACCCGCTCCCAGAAGCACTAAGGCTTTGTCACTATGTACTGGTGCTGCTGGGCCAGAGCCATGTCCCGGGCTGTGTCCCCAACCTTTACCAATAGCTACAGCAGAAACCAGGCTCAGGGGGCTCCTCACCAGTGCCACAGCCCATGCCCAGTGCACAAATCAGTAGGAGAACATAAACTTGGAACCAGAGGCATTTGAACAGCAGAACGAGCAGATAACCCCAAACCCGTGTCCATAAATACCTCCTTTGTTCTGATGTGCTTTTTTTATCCCTGACTTCTGGTCCCGTGGTGTTATTTCTCACAGTTTCCATCCCAAGCGCGTGGATGCAGGAAGGGTGAGCACACAGAGCACTGGCCTGCAGAGAGGAGGGGTTTAGGATGGAGGGTTGGACCTGAGGACTCCTGAGTCATCCCTGAAACAAAATCCCACCCAGCATCCAGCCCATCGTGGTTTCCTCTGGGGAACAGCTCCTGCTGGGCCCAGGAGCAAGCAGAGCCTGGCAGGGGCTGCTCCAGCTCTTCTCCAGAAGGACAAGAGCAGCTTTCAGATCGTAACAGGGCTGCTGCCTCCTGGGAGCCCTACAGGAACACACCAGAACTTGTTCTGAGCACTTGGTAAGGGCTGAGCTGCATTAGATGCACCTCATGAGGACAGTTATGGAACTGGTTGAAATTAAGGCTTTTAAATACTGGTAAT